ATAAAACAAATCTTTATATAATATAATATCAATCTCATATAACTAGATATGATATTATACTTTTTCCTAATATTTTATGAATAAATATACAAGATGAATTATGAACAAATAACATGCCTTCTTTTTAAATTTTACCAATAAGAAATTTTATCTATGGAACTTTCTGAAATTGTTGTCATAGTGATGTTCTTATCAATCTTACAAAACAGTACTGAATAAACATTTTGTTTGCATTAATTCTCAAATTACAGATAATAAATAGATAATAATAGTGCATTGATTTGACATAATAAAAATATAAGGATAAGACTTAGAAACAGGGGGAAATGAGAGGCTCTATCCAGCATTTTCTCTGTTTCTTGCTGAATCCTTATACAGATAATATGTCAAGTTATATTTAATTCACTAATTTCGTCTTTATACTGCAATCTAAAAGAATTGTAGACTCATCTTGTGTTATCATTTTGTCATTTATTTATCTTACTTGACTGTTTATTCAATATAACTTTAAAAAAAAACAGATTTATTTTCAACTAAAATTGTATGGCCCCATTAAATGTTGAAGCAGACCTATTAAGGACAAGCATGTCATTTAATTTCATCAAAACTATGTACCTTAATAATTCAATGTCTTCTTTTCATTTGGGCTCTTTTAAGAAAGAAGATTTCAGACAAGCACTCATCTATATTTTGTTAAGTTACTTCACTGTACTCAAATTTCACAAAAAAATGTTTTTTTTATAAATAAATACCATTTTCTGTGATTTTTTTTTTATCAAAATGTATCAATACCAACCAATTTGTAATATATTTATATTATACACTTCTGAATATATATTTTCCACAACCTATGTTATATTCATCAACATTACTTACTTTTATTTATCATTTAAAGTAATAAAAACATCTATTAATTTTCTGTATTATAAAATGTATGGAAGAATAATGTCTGAGGCAAATGAGACAGTTATTATATTTTTAAATTTAAAAAAAATAATATTTACAATCTAATTAAACTATAAGATTTTAAATATTTCTGGAAATAGGAGGATATACTAATGACAAAAATGTCAAGACATCCATTTAAGATGATATTATTAAAAAGATATCTTCAATTTGATGCACATTTGAATAGAAAGCATGTAAAATTTGTGAAGAAGTAAATCAAATAAACATTACTAACCACTTTATAGATCTTTCCTAATAATTTTAATGTTGTGTTGCTAGATAAATAGATAAAAAATTTACAGGGTAATCAATTTAATTTGGATTCCACGCACTAGCCTTGCGGTCATAAAATTTCCAGCATTATTTTTGTACTCAGACCAAGAAATCAACCAATCAAAACACTGAATTTGGTGTTTAAAGCACAAACTTTGTACTCAGAGTAGTACTGAGTAATGTTTAATGACCAAGAGCCCTGGTCGCACTCCTTTTGTAGTTCATGAGATTGCCTCAGTTTTTATTTTTACCTTAATTAGTATGTTCTAAATGAATTTATGATATTTGCCTGAACATCGGTATACTACTGTTGCCTCTAATTTACACTTATGTCCTGATCAATAACAATCCAATGACTGTGTTTTAGTAAAACAAATGTCATAACATTTTTTACATTTGATTTTTGTGGCCCCACCGCGACGGAGGGGGCATAAGTGTTACCCTTGTCTGTCCGTACATCCCAAAATTAGTTTCTGTTCTTAACTTTAGATTGCCTCAATCAAATGTTATGAAACTTATCCACAATGCTTATTATCACAAAACACAGATCAAGTTGGAATTTGGGTTGTGTCACTTTTACCATTCTTGAGTTATGTCCCTTTATAGCGTTATATATATGCAAGCAGGGGCATCATCTGTGTCCTATGGACACATTCTCCATTTATCTCTAACTATTTTTACCCTGACTTAAATGATGAATGCACCAAAAACAAATTTGTAGACCTTATAATTATTTTATGTCATGAAAACAGATATGTATGTGGCAACAACATATCAATTTCAAAGAAAAATCTATGAAATGGTACTTCAAGAATGAGGATAAGTTTGAAATTTTATAGTGAATTCTAATACAATCTATACAAATGCTTATCTATTTTTAAAAATTTGTTTTAATTAGGGAAGGCAATTAAACCAGTAAAATCATAATATTTTTCAAATATTCATTTCAAGTCCAACCTGTCCAAGTTGAATGCAAATTCTTAAAAATGTCTGTGATGTTGCCCATTTTACTTCCTTTGCTTCATCATATCTCTATAAACAAAACTTTAGGCAGGAAGTATAGCACAAACTAAGGCTTTGCTTCATCATATCTCTGTAGACAATACATTAAACAGGAAGTATATGAATAGCATCAAATGAATTTAGTTGTGACATCTAAATGTCAACAAGTCAAAAAAAAATATTTTTTTAATTTTATCAATCAAAAATATATATTTCCTTAAAAACAAGTTTTTGGTCTTCCCTGCCAAAAATTTCAAACTCAAAATATGTGGCTACAAAGGAAAGTATTTCAAACTAGCAGAACAGTCAATGAACAAGGCACAAAAAATAAAGGCAGAATATCAGCTGACTAGACTCATTTTTTTTATACATTTATAACATTTATAACAAGAAAATGTGTCCATTACTCAATATCAAAAAGCAGAGAACAATATTCTGTGTGAATTTTGTAAGTCTGAGATTAGAATAAAGGTAAATGAACTGGAATGCAACTTTAAGGAAATTTATACATACTGTTACTAGCTATTATTGCTATTTTACGAATTTTTCCTTTGATCTTGCTGACTGATAATTTCCGTTCTCAGTGGATTCGTGATATGAATATTGAGTCGAGTGATATGAAAATTATCGCTAGAAACTAAGGGAACACGTGCCGTTGTCAAGGAAATTAACAACGTCTTCATAGGTAAAATAGCGATAAACAGATTATCATAGGTCATCTCAACTCGATTGCTTTTCTCGTTGAGATAACCAACGATAATCTATAAGTATCACAAAGATATGCTAATAAGAAGCTACATGTAGATATAAATGCATGAAGTTATAGTCATAAAATACTACTACATGTTTATTCCTTTCACAGCACTTTTATCAAAGTTGATATTTTGAATATTTATTGAAGACATACACATGGTAGTTGCAAAGTGATGACAAAAGCACAATTGGCTTTTGACCTCACGATCTTTTTAGCCAGGAATTTATACATTCTCTGTGGTTTGCACATCTTGCTTTAAATAAATTCAATTTGTCAACAATTAATTTTAAAGCTAAAAACCCCAAAAGAAACTAAATATTTGATTCTTTCACAACCTTTTGGTATTACTGGCGGTTTTCCCAAACATTATACAACCTTGTTCTAGATTTTAACTAATTCTATAAAATTTCTAACATGCTAGACACCATTCTTCAAATTTTGGTAACAAACACAATTGAAAGAAGTTATTTTCTTAACACTGTAAAACAGAAGATAGTAAAATCTGTAATTTTTTTGCATGGTGATTGACAATCGTCTAATTTGTATAAATGTTTGCAGGTTGAACTTGTATGTTATTTTGCACAATACTGGATTCAAAACTGTTTTTTTTTCATATGAAAAAAAAACTATGACAAATTGAACAAAATATCCAATCTAAAAATACTAATAATCATATTAAAATCAACCTCTGATAAAGATTGCAGACTTTTTCAGTTTGGTTTATAACTATATTTTACATTCCTTTTGAAAATGTATGCAATTCTATCAGGAGTTATATAAAGACAATGCAGCATGCATGTCTTTTACAAGAATATAAATTCAAACTAATGGTAAATAAAATAAAAGAAAATAATAAACAAGTATAAAAAAATTAAAAAAATCGATATACAAGTATAAATAGATTCCTAAATTCCACAAATATCAGTGGCAGATTCATGATTATCAGAAAAGGGACCTTTAAAGCAAATGCATAAACTTTCCCGTATTTTTTTTACTTTTTAATGAAAAACAAGTATTTGGTAACCCTTGGTAAAAATGATTTCTTGACAATATCAGGTTTAAAAATCTACAAACAATTGGTTGTATCAAAAAAATAAAAGAGGATTCTTAGCATAAAAGTTTTACTAAGCGGATATGCAGATTGTCATGAGAGGTTTTCCCCATTGTCTGATTAAAGCGAGAGAAGGAATATTTTTTGGCATTTCAAAATAAAATTATGTGTATATTATCTGACAGCCAATATAATTCTTATTGATGTTTCAAGCAAAGCTTTTGAGAAAATTTTACATGTAATACATATATATATAGTAGCTGACAGAAAAAAAAAATTTTTTTTCAATAACATACATTAATTAAATGTACAGCTCTACTTTACTTCTATGAGTTGTATTGCTTACGAATAAAAGATTATTATTATAGTTAAGACCTTATTTTGTAAATATCTCTAATTGAGAAGTAATTACTCATAATTAAAAGTTAACAGACCTTTTTTGTAAATACCTCTAATTCAGCAGTATCTATTCATAATTAAAAGTTAACAGACCTTTTTTGTAAATACCTCTAATTGAGCATTTATTATTCTTACTAAAATAAAATGTGTATAATCAGGTTATGAATCATTAATATTGACAAAAAATCTTAACGGAACATGTAATAACTCTCAGTATGTCCTGCTTTCATATTAAGGTAGATAGGGTGTCTTTTTCTGAACATCCCTTCTGTTTCAAAAATACTCTTTTGGTTTAAAATTATTTTACCAATCAATAATTAAGTGTTGTTAAGTTTATTCAAAATATTCAGGAAAAAACATCATTTTAAAACAAAGGGCAGATAATTATATTGAATTTTATAGGATAATTTAGATTTTTTTTATATTTCGAGAAAATAAGGCCAATGACCCCCTATTCTTATTTGATATTTTGGATGTATTTATGAAAAGCAAATCTCTCATTGAATTTTAACCAATTCTATAGTTTAATGTTTCCCCAATAAGGAAAATTAAGTTTTCCTTATATAGCCCATATAAATATAAATAACTGAAATTTCAATAATTTCAATGTATTTTAATGAAAAACCAAGGTCTGTGACCACCAGTTTTTATACTAAAATTTGAAAGTACATTGACCCAGAAGATTTTTACAGAAGTGTAAGAAAAATCTATCGTCTAACATTTGGACACCCCAGCTACCTTAACTTGTATGCATTACATAGTTAAGTCGCACTGGAAATAGCTATAATTTAATTAAACAGTTAACTTTCACTGAGAACAGCCCAATTTGCATTACACAGTTAAATCACACTGGGAACAGCTAAAACTGCATTGCACAGGTAACTTTCACTGGGAACAGCTCAAATTGCAATTAGTACACAAATAATTCACACTGGGAACAGTTGAAATTGTATCACACAGGTAACTAAATTATATATAATACTTGAAACAGCTTTAAATGCCTTACACAGGTAGCTAAAACTGGGAACAGCTCTAATTAACTTACACAGGTAAGTCACACTGGGAACAGCTCAGATTATGAACATGTTTCTCTATTTGAATCGTAGTCTGACGGAAGTCATATTTCTTCTGCAGCATCTGGTTAGCTCTTTCTAAAACACTTTGATGTTCCTCATTTGGGCCTATAATATAATGGCATACTGATTGATGTTAAAGATTATCATTTGCAGTACAATAATACATGGTCCCTTATTCTGCATTTTTCATACATTAATCAGAAATTTTATGGTCCAAAAGTTCATAATATCATAATAATATTGACTAAATACAAAGATCTGTTTATGGATATTTCTAATATTTTCTATGTAAACAGGGCTCATACTACTTTATTATCATAGGGAGAAGTGACTTCTGTTATTGAAACTGATGAAAAGTTCACCCCCCTTTTTTCATGGGGTTCGTGCTACTCAATCTTTATTTTTCTGTGTAAGGCTTTGTAATTATTGCTTGTCTCTGTCCGTTTTGTTTTTCTTTTGGTAATGGTTTTATCTATTTATTGGTCTTATGATTTTTGAATTGTATTGTAAACATAGTAGAACATGAACTTACAATTCAACATAATCTCTCCCAATTCTTTCTCTAACCACCTCACCTTAACCCAAACAAAATACTATAATATACTATAAATACTATAACCTTTAACTGAACCCTAAACCAAGAGTGTAAGAAAAGAATGCTAATCTTATCTCATCATTAACAGCTAGGAAAACATTGAATTGGAAATATCCGAGAAATTATAGAACTTACCAACAGTCAGATGGACAGACATTACATTTTTGTCTATGGTCAAGGACCATATCAATAGTGTATGAGCTGATTTGACACCTTCTACTCTCTTTAAGTCATCTATCACAGTTTTATAGCACACATCTCTTGGAACTCCTATAAATTATATAAATATTTTGGTATAAAAAAAACAAAATCTGATTTAAAAAATAGTTATCAAAAAGTTTAAATGAAATTTTTCATGGGCTGTTCCATCAAAAGAAGAAAAAAAAATTATCTAGTAACTACTATTTTTCTAGGAATTTATATTAACTTTATTCAATGTATTTTCTGAGTCCTCAGAAATTATTTCATAATTTAGCTCCCCTTAATTATTTTAGTAAACATGAATGTCCTTTGTATAGGTATAAAAAATATTGCTGTCAGATTAAAAGATATCTTGTAAATATAAAAAGTGCTGATTGTAAATAAATTTCTATGATCAATTGATTATTTAGGTAAAATTTTATATTGAAAAGAAAAATGTCTACCTACATTTTAATAGACCCATGAACTTCTTTAATGATGTACTGGTGTTTCAGTCAAAGTAGAGATTATTTACAATGAATGTTGGTGATTGGTGGTGATTAACTATAAAATACCTTTCTCTTCATATTCAATAGAATGTTTATATCACAGGGTTGTAAATTGTAGTGTTATCATCCCAAATCACCAACAATTACACAGGTTTACAGTGAATTATTAAGCACCAACAAAGGTGAATTTTGACTGAACAACAGTGGTTGTCATTTGTTGCTGTATATCATAGTTGTGTTTCGTTTATTGTTTTGTACATAAATCAAGCCGTTAATTTGCTCATTTCAATTGTTTTACATTTGTCATTTTGGGGCCTTTTATAGCTTGCTATGCAGTATATATGGTATTGCTCATTGTTGCATTCTGTATGATGATCTATAGTTGCTAACCTTCTCTGTTATTTGGTCTCTGGTGAGGAGTTGTCTCATTGGCAATCATACTACATCTTCTTATTTTTATATCATTGTGTGTACTGTACTCAAGACTTACCTTCCATCATGACACGTAAAGTATCTCTTCACAAAGTTGTTGTGTGTACTGTACTCAGACTTACCTTCCATCATTACATGACAAGTATCTCTTCACACAGTTGTTGTGTGTACTGCACTCAGACTTACCTTCCATCATGACACGTAAAGTATCTCTTCACACAGTTGTTGTGTGCATTGTACTCAAGACTTACCTTCCATCATGACTCCTAAAGTATCTCTTCACACAGTTGTTGTGTGCACTGTACTCAAGACTTACCTTCCATCATGACTCCTAAAGTATCTCTTCACACAGTTGTTGTGTGTACTGTACTCAGACTTACCTTCCATCATGACACGTAAAGTATCTCTTCACACAGCTGTTGTGTGTACTGTACTCAGACTTATATTTACCTTCCATCATGACACGTAAAGTATCTCTTCACACAGTTGCTGTGTGTACTGTACTCAGACTTACCTTCCATCATGACACATAAAGTATCTCGTAGCATAGTTGTTGTGTGTACTGTACTCAGACTTACCTTCCATCATGACACGTAAAGTATCTCTTCACACAGTTGCTGTGTGTACTGTACTCAGACTTACCTTCCATCATGACACGTAAAGTATCTCGTAGCACAGTTGTTGTGTGTACTGTTCTCAGACTTACCTTCCATCATGACATGTAAAGTATCTCTTCACACAGTTGTTGTGTGTACTGCACTCAGATTTACCTTCCATCATGACACGTAAAGTATCTCTTCACACAGTTGTTGTGTGTACTGTACTCAGATTTACCTTCCATCATGACACGTAAAGTATCTCTTCACACAGTTGTTGTGTGTACTGTACTCAGACTTACCTTCCATCATGACACGTAAAGTATCTCGTAGCACAGTTACTGTAGTAAATATCACAAGCACAGAAAAAATAAATGTACAAATGGGATCTGCTAACTTGTACTTGGGGTCTTCCTACAATCAAAAGAGTATGAATGTGTACATTCAAATCTTTCTGTCAATGTTACTTTGATTGAAGATTGCAAAGATAAAGATATGCATTGAAAAATAGTCAAAAACCTTATTATTTATTTGAATGGGAGTGTGTCAAAAATTCATTTCCTATAATTTCTTTCAAAACTGTTTAACAGAATTTTATTGTCTATTGATAGTCTGAAACAAGTCATATATTGTTGAGATTCTCAAATGTCAGAATATGTTTGTTGTAAGCCAACAATTGAAATTTCCTATTTTCAAATTCATTTGAGTAGAAGGGCATGGGTTAATTTCTGTTCCATTGTACAAGTCTGATGCAGAAATGAATGTTCAAAATAATATAAACTAAATTGTCTAAAGCTAGACTCTGGGGTTGATGTATGGTGGAGGTTAACTAAGTCTTGTTGATGGTGACTTCAGAAGTCTGTTTTGGTAAATGTGTTATATATATATTCATTTGTATGGTGGGGCTGCTCCAACTATGCTTATCTCACATTTCTTTTATATTCATATAAATCAGCTGCAATGTGGAGAACAAAGAACAAAGTTAGGAAAACTTTATAGTTTGTTCAAAAACGTAAATGACCAGTCATTAAAAACTCATCTGTGCAGGTCACCTTATCCAGATAAAATAGAGACCACTTTTAATCCCCTATTTTCCTACTGTATAATAGCTGTTCCATAAAACATACCTGGGACCCTGGTATTTCAAGGAAAGTTGCTTTTATTGACCACTATGTGTGATTTTTAAATATCATATTGTATCTACATTTATGAATTTAAAATGTATTTAGGTCTCATAAAGTGGGTGGTTGCTTGGTCTATTTTCAAAGTGCCTTCCATGGTCGTCAAGTACATTTCAATACAATAGAAATACAAATGAAATTAACAATTCAACTCACATACCGTAAATTTAATGATGAATGATGCTATAAGAACTCCCACACTCTGTATAATGTCACCTATCACATGTATAAAGGCTGCTCTGACATTTATGTTTTTATGGTGAATATGTTTTGGTTTATCTGCAACTGGAGATTCCAGTTCAATCTCCTGCTCAGATCTGTCATCTATCAGTGGTGTATATGAATGATCAGTCCTACTGTGGTGGCTGTTTCGTTGGTGACTGTGACCATGGTGACCAAATGATTGTCCATGACTTTTACAACATACTTCAGAATGAAGAACAATTCCCATACTAAAACACAATAAAATTGAATAAGATAAAACTTATAAGGCTTCAAAGTAAGTTTTTAATGGTAAAAAAAAAATAAATAAATAAACAAGAGGTCCCCAAGTGCCTGTATCTCTCACCTGGTAAAATTCAAAGATCTGTTTATGGATATTTCTAATATTTTCTATGTAAACAGGGCTCACACTACTTTAGTATCATAGGGAGAAGTGACTTCTGTTACTGAAACTGATGAGAAGTTCACCCCCCTTTTTTTGGTTCGAGTTCTGCAATCAAATATCAAATGTAGACAGCATTTGTGTAGATTTTGTATAGAACACACAGATAAAAATTACCGGTGGGCAAAAGTTAGACAGCATTAGTGGCATTTGTGTAGATTTTGTATACAAAACACAGATAAAAATTACTGGTGGGCAAAAATTAGACAGCATTTGTGGCATTTGTGTAGATTTTGTATACAACACACAGACAAAAATTACTGGTGGGCAAAAATTGTCCTTTAATGTTGACTTATTTGAAGATATTACTTTGCTGAACATTTTCACCTTTAAATACTCTCTTCATCTACATGCATCATAGCTTTTGCAAAAAAAAAAAAAATTGGCAAAAATCGTCTTTCATTGACAATAACTCCTGTAAAGGTTGATTAACAATTTCGATCAAAAGCCGGTCATTAAGACATATTGACTTATTTGTTGGTATTACTTTGCTGAAATTTTTTACATTTTAAACATCTTTGCCATTTAAAGTTTATCATACATTGTCATAATCTGTATCTATCATATTTTCTGCCAAAAAGTGTTTTCTAAAAAGTCATTTAAGGGCAATAACTCCTATAAAGGATACATTGTAAGTTGAGGATTTTGGCCATGTTAACTTACTCCTATAAGTCATTATTAGGGATCAATTCATAATTTCTGGCAGTTTGACTTATTTGTAGATCTCAACTTTTTGGTTGTTTATAATTTCTCTTTACATGTACATTGTGTATGCCCTTTTAAAATTAAATAACTGAATGTTAAAGACTATCTACATGTATACTATTAATTAATATACTAATACAACATTAAAAGATACATTTTTACTAAAACAGTGTAAACTGCCACATCATACACATGTTGTTGAAGTTATATTATTTATACAATATTTTAGGCCACTTTGTACTGGTACACATAGAAAATTATCTAGCACAATATCAACATGATCAAAGGGTGAATTTGTATACTGGAAGTATAAGTCATAATACTTACACTATATTAAAGGCTACACCTACACTTGCAGTAACTAGCATTTCATTAGGATTAACATTTTTATAATGATTGTGTTGTATTCTTTCCACAGCCATATAACACAGGATACCAGTCACTAACCAAATGATGAACACACTGAATAAAGCACCTATAACTTCTGAAATTTAAAGGCAAAACAAAGGTTTAAGATACGTAATAAAATACATTAAATGAGAATCAGTAATAAAAATTCAGACAACAGTGTAACAGTGTTTCATTTGCATGTCATGACGTCTCCATTCAATACACCATGTTTTTGGTTCTGTAATTGAACATGAGATTTTACATGTCTAGAGAAGAAAAGCAACTAAATCCATTGCAACAGAAGAAATAAATAAAATGATATTTATTATTTAGCCTTTTTTAGTAAACCTCTGCTGTAAAGAATAGGTGTATTTACAGGTTTGTTGTCAATGAAATTCACATATTGCAACAGGTGTTAAAAGGGTGAATTCAATTTCTTCATTATTAAATAAATTTATTACTCAAGTGGATGCATGTATGTAATTAAAAATATTAGTATTTTTAATTCTTAAAATATATTTGAATGTATTGTTTGTGCACACATGAAACTGGTTCAACACCATCACATTTTGTTCCAAGTCAGATTGTCTTGACCATGTGTTGTTCATTTTTGTTTGCCTTTGTTTGAATATCTATCATGTCTGTTTTATAGAAGGAGGTTGGTGTGGTGTGTTGTACTATTAAATGTTTTTTGATAATTGTTGTTATCCAATTTACATGTTATATTATGAAGCTTTTTACCTGCTCTGTGGAAGCCAAATGACATGGTCTTGGTAGCTGGTTTCTTGGCCAGATACATGGCTAGGAGACTAATGAGAAAACTAATCAGATCACTGGCCAGATGAAGGACATCTGTAAACAAGGCAAGGCTATTGGACAATACTCCTCCTGTAAAGTACAGATTTTGTTTGTTAACATGGCTAAGACAAGTTTAAACTCAAGTTCTTTGGATTTCAATAGCACAAAAATAAAAGCAAATGATTTTTTACTGTTTTATTTCCTGAAAAATATGAGGTAAAATATATATATATATATATATATATATATAAAAGTCTAAATTGAAAACAACGTTCAAACCTATGATTGCGTTGGATAAAAACCGCAATTTTTATACGTGTGCATGTAAAACAAATTTCTTGGTAGACAGTAGAGGGGTTTAAATACAGCATATATATATATACAAGTCTAAATTGAAAACAACGTTCAAACCTATGATTGCGTTGGATAAAAACCGCAATTTTTATACGTGTGCATGCAAAACAAATTTCTTTGTAGAAGGGTCTAAATACAGCACAAACAACATTTTCCAAAAGACCAAAAAAGTGAAAAAGTATATTTTAACAAAACGCATTTGACTAGCAGGTCGAACAACGGATGTTCTTAAACCCTGCTGACTGCCATGGCGATTGCCAAATAAAAGGATCACAGATGTAACACAATGGATCTTAATTATATAAATTTAATACCAAACAGAAAACAATAAACTTGCGGAAGAGATGGTATACCGCAAACTTGAGGTGCAAAAATTTGTACACCATATCCGGATTTCGACAATTAATGTCTCTTCAGTGATGTTAGGAATCGAAACGGAATTTGAAAGGCCATATAATTTACCTCAATTTGGGATTGACTCATGAATTTTGAAGAGTCGAAATAGGATGAACGGATCATATAAACCCGAAGGCAAATATAATACAAGCCCAAACTAAAAAATATAAACAAGTCTAAATTGAAAACAACGTTCAAACCTATGATTGCGTTGGATAAAAACCGCAATTTTTATACGTGTGCATGCAAAACAAATTTCTTTGTAGAAGGGTCTAAATACAGCACAAACAACATTTTCCAAAAGACCAAAAAAGTGAAAAAGTATATTTTAACAAAACGCATTTGACTAGCAGGTTGAACAACGGATGTTCTTAAACCCTGCTGACTGCCATGGCGATTGCCAAATAAACGGATCACAGATGTAACACAATGGATCTTAATTATATTAATTTAATACCAAACAGAAAACAATAAACTTGCGGAAGAGATGGTATACCGCAAACTTGAGGTGCAAAAATTTGTACACCATATCCGGATTTCGACAATTAATGTCTCTTCAGTGATGTTAGGAATCGAAACGGTATTTGGAAGGCCATATAATTTACCTCAATTTGGGATTGCAGATAAATATATACAGCTTTTTTTAGCAATATTTTGGCATTGTAAAAAATCTGTTTTAATTAAAATACAGGAGCAAGCAAAAACCAAATAATTTCAACTCTTTTTTGATGTTTTCTCTGAAAAATTGTTATTAAGTCAACATTCATCTATACCATGTATACAGTGTCTACTAAAATTTAGTGCAAGCAAATTCAAAGAACTAAAAAACAATTTGCTGGGGTCTCACATACATGAACATGTACTTCATGTCATTTTGTGTCAGCTGTTAATAGCAATTAATTCTCCCACATGCATCATGTGCATACATGAACATGTACCTAAAGTACTTTCTCATGTTTTAGAATAAAGGAAACTTGTATATGATTTACATGTACATGTGTTTGTACATGATAAAAAAATGTACATGTAATTGAAAGACCTACGTTTAAATATTCAACATTTTCAAAGCTTTATTTCAATAATCAAACAGTTTCACATGAATTTAATGACCAGTTAAAAATAGATAACAGCAGCTGCAAGAAATAAAATCACTATGGATTAAAATAAAGGTTAATATACAATGTACATACATGTAACAGTTCATGTACATTTTGCATTTCAAACCCTCATTATGGACAGGAAGAATAAAAATCATCTGAGCTGTGTAAATGTTGTGTATATCATGCATATACAATTGTATTGCTAATTGACAATAAATTTAATTTGCTAACTTTAAAATCTTTTTAATTTTGTTCACTATATATATCATGTATATAGCTAGTGCTACTCATGTTCAGCACAGATGGAGGTGTTCCTACTGTATCCTTATAATTACTTTTTATTCAAAAGAATATTTCATTATCTCAGGTTTGCAAGTTGACATGCATAGGTATTTAGCAGATCAAATAATATAAAATTGTTGAGGTGCATGAAAGCTGCACAAATTATTGTGTACATAGTTGGACATGATAATGCATGAGTGAATCTAAAGGTTATATTGTGGTATATCTGCATGTTTATATGGCAAACCTTAGATACAGAATCGAGTATGACACGTTTCCAGAATAACCTTTTATCAGATGTGCTTTGGACTAAAAACATTTAGAAGTTACTAGTTTAAAGAAATAAAACCTCTTTTGAGAGGTACATGTAGGTACATACTTATTTGGAACATGGGACAACTTGGCCCTAGAGTCACTGCTTGGACTGTCAATACATGTAAGTCAACTTGGACCTTCTATAAAGTCAACTAGGACCAACTATGAAGTCAAATCTATTATGTAAACTTAATTTATACCAAAATATATCAAGTTAAGCCTGCTTTAAAAAAAAATTTCATTTGTTTAATTCATTATTTATCAAAAACTTTATATCTCAATCTCATTGCCCAATGATAATTTGTACATATTTTATGGAAATCCATCAATGAGTCAACTCAAACTGTTTATAGTATAAGGTCAACTGAATAGATGGCTTCAATTCCATAAAAAAAAAGGTACATCAGTCACTGTATTGAATAGTCGATCACATATAGACTTTCAAACTTGTCTTCATAGACCGACCAAGCTTATCTTTTTTGTACAGTATCATTCAATCATTTAAATACATGTAGTCCAAACTCTCTTTTTTAACTTGTCTGATCTGAGTTGACAATAAAGACGATCCTAGTTGACTTCCTAAACGGTCAGAGTGGAATAATATAAGGTGTTAGAATTGTCCCTTTAGATGGTCCAGAATAGTCTCTTTTGTAGTAGTATAAGTTGACATTGGGCCAAGGTGTCTTGCACCCCTTTTTCAGGAAAATAAAAAGGTACATGCACAATCAATTCCTCAATTGTGTGTGTGTGTGTGTCCAAATTCTTAAAGAGGAAATAGTGTTTAAATACAAACCAACAGCTTCTCCAATCATGAACATTACACAAAGGGTACAAACAGCGATCAATTGATTTCTCGCAGTTTTGTCATTGTTATTGCTATCATTGCTATGACAGTGCCATTGGTCCAATAATGGACTGTCACTGTCTGATCGCTCAAACTGGACTGGGATGGCCAATCGTTCTTCATGGTTTGAAATACTCTCTAGGCCAAAGCTGCTGTAGCCATTACCACAGTCAGAAATATTGTCATGATCTGTATTCTCTGGAATGTTGTTTATAGAATTTGAGTTTAAGGACTCCTTTTCTGTTTGAGAAGGTTGGAAATCCACCAATAATTCGGATGTTAATGGCACGGTGCTATCGTGATTTGATTGGTAATGATTATGGTCTTTGTTTTCAACCTCAGCAACATCACTGTAATTGCTGAAGTGAGTCATCACAGTATCCCAAAAAAATATTCACATCAATTTGACATATATTTCAAGTTCGTGACAATCCAGCAGGAAGTTGTTGATTTTTTTTTACCAGGTACATGTCACGTGATTTCTTAAAAAGAAAGTCTGAAGACCGATCGCGAAACGACCAGTATTTAGTGTTCAAAATTTACAACTGTCTGAATATATTGCTATATTTATGATAAGGTGTGTTAATTCGTAGTTTCCTAAATATGGTATAAATATTCTCGCATAAATAGCCTAAAACAATAAATTAGAAAAAATATTTCCGGAATTGTTACGTGTCTTTTTGATACGACTTTGAAGTTTATTAAGTAAATTTCCGTTTCAGTTGTGAGGATAAACAAATTTTCTTTTAACAGTTGAATCCTTTGTCCAATGTTTTAGATAAGAAATGGAATGTGAATATACTAAAGACAGATTAAGTGAAGCCCTTGTCCTCGCAAGAACTAGAGCAACTGATTTCGAAAGCGTGAAAAAGCTCAACTTCTGGTAATACTATTTTATTTACCTTGTCAATCGATATATCTGTTCCTAGAAAATAAGGATTAGAGCAGCTTCTGGGATCGTACTCTTGAAACCCTGTACAGAACTGCAATCCTCAATCTGCATGAAACTATTTGTTGTGGCAATTGATTCCAATTTATAACTGTACACGGATAAAATGAATATTTATAACTGTCTTTAGATGTTTGTATTTGCCTAAATGAGTGTGGATTGCTGTTTGGTTGTATTGACTATTGTCTAGGAATCCAGGTCCGTTTGCGCCCAATCACGTTCGCCCCCCTTTCACTTTCGCACCCTACACGTTCACGCCCAATTTTTATTGGTTTTGTGTTGAACAATTTGTAAACGAGTTTTGATAAGTGACTTAGTGTATTGCTATAAATATATATTTTTTCATTGTTTCTAAATAAAGTGAGATTCTGACAAGGTTTTTTTGTGTCATGGAAAATGTATTGCTACATGTATAAACATTTTTTTTTTCATTGTTTTTAAATAAAGTGAGATTCTGACGACCAGTATTTTATTTTTGTGTTGAATAATTTTTAATCATGTTTTGGTTAACATTGTAAGTGTATTGTTATAAATATGGGGGGGGGAGGGGGGGGGTCAAATATTTTTTTTCATTGTTTCTAGTAAATAAAGTGCGAATCTGACAACATTATTTTGGTGTTGAATAAATAGTAAGCATGGTAAGTGTATCGCTATAAATGTTTTTTTTTTTTTTTTCATTGTTTCTAAATATAGTGAGATTCTGACAACGCTTTTTTTTAATGTGTTGAGCCAAGCTGTTAAAAACAATTATCTTTCATGTTTTTATTTAAAATCTTCAAAGTTTTACTCATACCAATTAAGCTAAATACATGCAGTATTTACATCAAAGCAAGTTAAGACAATTAACAATCATGATTTTTAAACACTCAACAATAACACCAAATTAGGCTGTGTATAAATACCAGTTAGCAGTAATCTTACATAATTAACATTTAATAATTAATCATCAAATCAATTTAAAACAATATTTTATTTAAAAATTCTCGAATTTTTATTTATGAAAATAAAAATATTTTGATATAAACATCTACAAAACATCTAAAAATTTACCAGGTTTTTGAATAAAAAAAGGTTTTCAAAATGACGAAAGTTTTTCAACATGTTCAAATCTATTTCATCACTTAAATTTGAAAAGTGTAAAAATATTTTCGCATGAAAATACTATAATTCTACCTGTCTTCATGTTTTTGACAAGTGTATGACCCTCATCTAATTAACGTTTACAACAGGAGTTATAAGTTGTGATTACAGATAATCCGCTTATCGCCATCAGATGGGTCACTAATCCGTTAATTAAGAAACCTCATAAATTATTGACCATCATAATTATTTTTCCCTGTAAAATCGGTGTGTTGGCATTTCAATTTCAATATTTCTCAAACGACCACAATTTGCAGTTCGTTTTTCATAGTTTTGTCATTTGAAAAAAAAATGTTTTCCCCGCGGACAGTTCGCATTTTAATTTCAATATTTTTCAAACTATCACAATTTGCAGTTTGTTTGTCGTTGTTTCATCTAATGAACGAATTTTCATCATATTTTATATAACTTTTCATCAAAAACTTTCAACAATTTCGATTAAAGAGAAAGAACTTTATTCAAAACGTTCAGAAATATTTTCAAAAGTCGAACAGGTGCACTGCTTCCTTTATTATGTACTGCACATGCGTGAAAGTATTCTTATAGATTAGACATTAAAAACGTAATATACAAACTCATTAAGTATCAAAATAAACGAAGGAGACAAATATATTTCTTACTATTAAGCAACTTGATTTAGAAATATGATAATTTCCTGTCGTTTGTTAATAAAATGCTCCGCTGGGCGCAGCTTGATACGACCGCAGAGGTCGAACCCTGAACAGTTGGGGCAAGTATGGACACAACATTCAAGCTTGATACAGCTCTGAATTTGGATTGTGATTAAATATTTGACACAGCATAGGTTTTTGACACAGAATGAATGTGGTCTTAGAACTTAAAATTTTGTAATATACCTATCATGGTCCAATATCCAAAATCTAAATACATACATGGTTAGATTCAGCATATCAAAGAACCCCAAGAATTCAATTTTTGTTAAAATCAATTAAAAAAAACTAAATTTAATTTTGGACCCTAAATTGGACCTTAATGTAGACTAATTTGAAAACGGGACCAAAAATTAAGAATCTAAATACACGGTTAGATTCAGCATATCAAAGAACCCCAATATTTTTAATTTTTGATAAAATCAAACCATATCATTATTATTTGCTTTTATATATAAATAAAAAATAATTAACTTAAAATGGAAAATTTTAAAGAAAGAAAAAAAGAAAAATAAAGGAAAATTAAATCCCCCCACAATTTTTTGAACCCCCTTATGATTCATCACCCCAAAACTCAATCCCAGCCTTCCCTTTGTGGTATGGTACCTTGCAGTACAATTTTAGAGAGATCAATACACTTGAACACAAGTTATTGTCTGGAAACTGTAAAAATGCTCAATATTCCTAAACGTTTAGGACAATTACCCCCAAACTCAAACCCAGCTTTCCCTTTGTGATATGGAACCTTGTAGTACAATTTCATAAGGATCCATACTTACACACAAGTTATTGTCCGGAAACTAGAAAAATGCGTTTTTTGCCCCTTTTTGGCCCTTAATTCCTAAAATTTTGAGGCAATTACCCCAAAAATCTATCCCAGCCTTCCCTTTGTGGTATGGTACCTTGCAGTACAATTTCAGAGAGATCCATACACTAACACACAAGTTATTGTCTGGAAAGTAGAAAAATGCTTATTTTTGGCCCCTTTTTGACCACTTATTCCTTAACTGTTGGTACCATAACCCCCAAAATCAATCCCATTCTTCCTTTTGTGGTATTGAACCTTATGGTAAAATTTCATAGAGATCCATTCACTTAAACCAAGGAATTGTATATTTAAATATACAATTCCTTGCTTAAACTAAAGTTATTGTGTCTTCGGATGACACCGGATGACGACGATGCCAACGTCATACCAATAATGGCAATATACGACCGCAAAAGTATAAAAACGATCCAATCCATGGATGAATCCCGATTCACTCTGAATTAATTATCCTCCTGTCACTTCCCGTTTTCATTTCCTTCAAAAAAAGAAAGTAAACGTGATCTATTCTTGTTTAATTTACAATATAGTACAGCCATTAGAATCGTGCCAACAAGGATTTCTACAAGCTGCGCCCAGCGGAGCATTTTTTGTACAAATCCTTGGTTCCAAGTTTATAGAAATGAATTCCAAACATCGATTTAACTGTTTTTACAAGGATAATGATTATGCAGTGAAATAGTCGTTACAGGTTCATTTTACATTTATGCTGTGATTCCTGGTTTTAAAAAAAAGGTACCCAACTTTTGTCAGTCAAGGGTTTAACTTAAATAAGTTATTAGTGAAAAATAACATACATGCCGTTATTGTGGGCTAAAATATCAAAAAACTGTGATAACATATGTATGTTACATGTTTCAAAGAGGCAATATACATCCTTTACTTTGTTAAATTGTATACAAGTTCTATTGGTATTATTATTGTCCTTATGTATACTAAACTTTAGAAAGATATAACAGTTTATAATTTGCCAATCATGTATAGTACACCTATGTTATTACAAAACATATATGCCTGTAATAACTAAAGGGTGTTATTACAGCTTTTCTACATCTCTTCAAAGCCATTTCTCAGACATACATGACATATATCACAATGTATTTTAATTCATTGTAAGAAATAATGATCAGAGCATGTGATGAGGTTTTGAGCAAGCTTCCCAGTAATTCCCAATTAAGTGTCTCATTTTATAAGTTTATACATGCCTGTAATAACTAAGCCTTGCTATTACAGCTTATATAGTGTATCCCTTAAAAAAGCCTTGTCTCATTGATTTACCATGGTTGATCAAAAATGTATTAATTGAATTGGAAAATTAATTATCAAGGTTATGCATTAAGTTTCTGCGCAAAGTTTCAAAAAATCCCAAGAGCCCACTAAAAATAAAAATATATTTTGATATATTAACTAATAACAAACATATGTTACTACAGATTAAGAAATAAAGAGCAGACAACTCATGAAAGTATCTGTAATAACACATGTATGTTATTTTTCTCTAATAACTTATTTAAGTTAGACCCTTGATTGTTTGTTGATCAGGAATGTCCCCTGAAAATAACTGAAGCGAAATTGTAAACTACATGTAAAAATTCGGATCCTTATTAGATCTTATTGTAATCTTCATATTTAACCACCACATCTATCAAATTATGCAATAACTGCCTGAGCATGCCTAAGTCCTTCAAAGATGTACAGCTAGTAATACATATCTTTGGTCCATTGCTTTTACCCAAAAAGAGGTTGATTTTCATCTCACACAAAAGTAACTAAATTTAAAGCCCTCAAAATCCTAGCTGAAACCCTGAGGGACTTCAACATTTTCGTGTATAATTTTGTAAAAGAAAAACAAGTCTGTATCTTAAACGCCTAATGTAAAGTGGGTACCAATTTAAATCTGTCATACTAGTAACTGAGCTGATGTTGTGGAAGTGGTTGCATGTGAAGCGGGCTGCTCTTCTCTGTACTATTTCAATTTCTGTAATTTGTTGTTTTTGATGTGGATCTTAAATGGTTGAGCAGTACTCGAATTCGGTCGGACAAGAGCTTTAACTTTAGGTGAGGCTATTTAAGGTTTTTGTGAATAAATCCAATAGACTGGTTTGCTTTAATTTTGATATCAATTATCAATATGTTTATCCCATTTTAAGTTTGATTGAAGAGTTGGGCCTAAATATTTTGAAGAGTCAACTTTTTCAAGTGGGTGATTTATATGTAATTTGCAAGTAAAGTCTAAAGGTTTTGTTTTTGTGTTAATACACTGACTCACTGATAATGTTGCATTTATCAGGGTGAAAATGCATGAAATATATACCATGTACATGTATACAGTTGAAAATCTTGGAAATACAAAAAACAAAAAACACTTGATCCATGAAAGCAGCAATGAGTATACCAACGGAATCTGAAATTCTATCAATAATCTCAAATGTCGGGTAACTATATTTTCATTTGTATGCCCCTGTACTTTATAGTTGATAGAATTTCCAATTCTTGTGACTATATAGTCAACCACCCTGGTCGGACCAACTTAAAAACTTATTATTTTTTTATCAGAACTGCTGTTGACCGGAACAACCTTGAAGACAGTATAGTGACAGCAAAGTCGATAGCTATAAAGTGGCACTATATACATGTACCCGCAATCAGAACTAATTGCAATCTTCATCCTTGTTGTAATAATACCCATACACTACAGATAACAGTGGAATACCCTGTGTTTATACGGCCAGTGATATTGTGCATTACCTGATTTTGTCATATCAGCAATGTAACATAGAATTGTTCATGTTATTGTTTTAATTTTCCAAACAGACACAACAGGTTAAAATTAACAAGTTTGGGCAAAAATTTGTAATTTGATTTTATAAGAAAATTACAATCCCATGTTTCATCATATTTAACCATTTTCTGTTAAAATCGATGACATCTTCAGAAAAATTGTTTCATCATTATTTTAAAGAAAGAAATTTAAAATAAATATAAATTTTTAGAACACAAACAGTCATATTTACAATGAAAGAACCTTAGTGAGCGCGCTCACATACCCCACGTCCCCACATTGTCATTGGAGAAATAAAATAAGTGTAAGAAAAAAAAAATTGTATCAGAAAAAAAAATTGAATCGTATTTCCTGTCGATATGCACATCTACATAGTATGTCCTTATTATCTGAAAAGGTTTCATGAAATTCTGTTGTGTGGTTTGAGAGGAGTTGCGATGACAAAAGGTTGCAGTAGTATATTGGGCAAATAAGTTCAAAGAGGCGTAACTCCTGGAAAAAAAATTGAATCGTAATTTCCTGTCGATATGTACATCTACGTAGTATGTACTTATTATCTGAAAAGGTTTCATGAAATTCTGTTGTGTGGTTTGAGAGGAGTTGCGATGACAAAAGGTTGCAGTAGTATATTGGGCAAATAAGTTCAAAGGTGCGTAACTCCTGGAAAAAAAATTGAATCGTAATTTCCTGTCGATATGCACATCTACGTAGTATGTCCTTATTATCTGAAAAGGTTTCATGAAATTCTGTTGTGTGGTTTGAGAGGAGTTGCGATGACAAACTATTGCAGTAGTACATTAAAGTAAATAAGTTCAAAGGGGCGTAACTCCTAGAAAAATAATTGAATCGTAATTTCCTGTCGATATGCACAACAACATAGTATGTCCTTATTATCTAAAAAGGTTTCGTGAAATTCTGTTGTGTGGTTTGAGAGGAGTTGCGATGACAAGAAACAGGACTGACGGACGGACGGACGGACGGACGGACAGACAGACGGGTCAAAAACATTATACCCTCTGCAACTTGTTGCGTGGGGTATAATTATTCATACTCTCTTATATTTATTTGGACATCCTTTTAACATGAATGAATGTAAGGTTAGAATCACACACCCAAAAGTTCCCACTGTATAGCATGCAGAACAATCACTTTTTGGAAAAATAATAAATCACCAAATTTACCTTTTTCAAACTGTTTAGAATGAAATAAAAAAAGGTAAGATTATGAAAATGTAATGATGTATTCTTACTTGAATATGTATAAACATGTATACAAATGTATGAAAACAAGATTTTTTCATACATGAATCAACTTTTCAAAAGATTTACATGTGTAGGTCTATTATAAATTATATATCGTTTATATATATAACAGTAAATTTGTTGTTATTAAAGTTAAGTCATTCATCATAACAGATTAAACAAGGTGTGCAGTTTGTGTCATTTTGGCATTTACTTAATTTCATTTTTTTACAGGGGATCTGGCATCAGAGATGTGAGTGTGGTAAAGAAACTTCCAAATTTAGAAGTATGTAGCTTAAGGTAGGCAATTGTAAAATATGTGACATACTTTCTTATAACTAAATTTAAAGTATTATTTGTTAAATCAGTCCCCTCGGAACTGTTTTTTTTATTTTAAAAAATAATACAATTGATTATAATGATTTGTAAATTTTGATATATCATGTATACAATATTGTATGTGTGTACAGACAATTTTGAAGGTGAAAATTACTATGACATTGTTTGGTTAAAGTATTAGGCCTTAATTATATATTATAATTTAATTATCCTTGCATCTTTAGCACATCTCTAAAGAATGTATCCAATTGGTGCAAACTGACATTAATGCATTAATTTTTTTCAAATGTATTTATTTTTACTCACTGAATTTTATTGGTTTTCAAAAACAATACATGTACATGCTATTTGACATATCATCAAAAATATGAAAAATGAAATTATTTGCATGATTAATAAATTAGCTTCTAATAATTCTTTGTAGTGTGAATAACATATCGACATTGGAGGATTTTGCAGAGTGTGAAAATCTCAGGGAAATATTCATAAGAAAAAATAAGATTGAAGATTTATCAGAAATATGTCACTTAAAGACATTGCCAAACTTGAGGAATTTATGGTTAGCAGATAACCCATGTGATCAGACAAAAAACTACAGACAAACTGTGTTAAAAACTCTTCCAAATCTTCAAAAGTTAGACAACATAGGTAATTTCATGTGGTTATTTGATAGTAGAGCATTATAGGGCAGAATTCTGCCCACAATTTGCATATTAAGCATCTTGGTTAATTTTTAAATTCCATCATGTATCTAGATATAATAAAGGATAACATCCATAGAACAATCTATATGAATATCATTTCAGATATATATATAGCATCACATTCAATTAATATAGTATCATATCCATAACACAATCTATATGAAGATCATTTCAGATATATATAGCTTCACATCCATAACACAATTTATATGAAGATCATTTCATATACATGTGTACATGTAGCATCACATCCATAACAAAACCTATATGAAGATTATTTCAAATATATAGATATAGCATCACATTCAATTGATATAGCATTGATATCACAATTCACATCCATAACACAGTCTATAAGAAAATTGTTTCAGAAAGCATCCCATTAAATATAACAGCATCACATAAATGTGATGCTAAAATAGCTAGTGGAGAAAACTTGAGTATGGTAAAGTTTTTAGTCAAATATGCCAATTTTTTTTCGTGGATACTTAATTTCGTGGATTGTAGAAAAATTATATTCTTGTGGATATTTTATTTCATGGTTTTGCCAAAGTCTGCATACAGGCCTATAGAAAATTTGTACTTCATTGAACATTTAACTTTGAGGTTTACCTACGTGACCTACATGTACCATGTATACCCACGAAATCCATGACAATTGGTATCCAATGAATAATAATAATAATAATAATAATAAATAATAAATCCACAGTATATAGAAGTACATATGAGACATAATTTTTCTTTAATTTATGTCAAAGGGAGCAACCATTTAACTTCAAGAGGGCGGTTATGGTTTTTTGTCTGAGTCCGAAATTTTATTTTAGTATTTTGAAGCTATCAGTAAAAAATTTTCAAAATTTAACACTATAAGGTATTGGGGAAATCTTGATACAGAATTATTTTTTTTTGTCATCTGCTTTCATTAAATTGGGGATCAAAATAAAAAACCATACCCCCTTGAAGTTAAATGGTCGTTCGCTAATATAATTATTAGATTCAAGATGCTGTAAATTCAGAAATTATTGCGTGCATTTCTTATTGCGATTTTGTCATTTTAGACCATAATGCAATTATTATTTTTGCAATACTGAGAAAAATTCCGCTTCATTCATATAAAATAAATCCAAAATGCGAGTTTAAATTATTGCTATTACAACCCTGTCGCATTTTTCGAAATAATAAAAACATCGCAATAATTTCTAAATTTACAGTATTTACTTTTACAAATCATTAGAATACATGTATCAACTGAATTTCAAATATTTTAGCTGTGTCAGAAGATGAACTTGCTCAAGCTCAGGAAGATGGTATAGACTTGTCACTTGATGGAGTTCAAGATGAAGAGGTCAACAATGAGATAACAGATGAAACACAGCAAGAAATTAATAATGATGAAGAAGAAAATAAGATAGACGAAACAGAAAGTGAAATTGACACTAAGTCTTCTAAAAATGAAACTCCTATTGCAAACGGTGCTACTAAAAAAGATATCAATAAGAAGAAAGAACAGAAGACGAAAGAAAAACCTCTTGAAGATTCCATGTTAGACCCAGTTACATTGTCTTGGGAGGAAACAAAGTAAGTGCAGTGGAGGCACCAATACCCCCTCCCCCTGGCTCAAATTAAATGTGTACATGTACTTGTAAAAATGTTTGGCGTGCATAAATATTTTTTGGAACCCTGGTTGGATTGATTATGATGCACACACTATTATAGTTACTGTATAGTTATTTCAATTTAATGGCCTCATGTTGACATACTTTCAACAAGTGCATGAGGCCATGGGTTTTATCCCTGCCTATGTCAAACCAAAGACTTGAAAATATGTTTTTGATACTTCTATCCTAGGCATTTATATTATATAGAGTTTATTTAAATAAGAACAAAGTCTGTTCAGCTCTGACTCAGAACAATGTGAATGAATAGGGTGAATCGATCACCTAAATGCAGTCTGAGGACTAAAAAATATTGGCTGGCACAAATTTTATTTTGAACCCTGATTGGATTGAGTATAATGCACACAATGTAACTGAATCACTGCATCAGTCCCCTTTTATATTTATAAATCTTTTGACATTTTTTATCACTATGATCTACTTTTCATACTGCAGAAACATTGATTATATTTTTCTGTTTACAACAAAAATCAATTTTTGAAACATTTATAGTGCCATCATGAAGTCTTCCTGCCAATTGTTATATTTTTGAGATAGCAAGATTAACAAGAAGTTGCACTTGATGCTGTGCAAAGTAAACTCCCACTTGAAAAATTCCATGCACAGTGTGTAATTTGTTAGAAATTCATAGTTTCTTTTAATAAACAGAAAGTATTTGCCAAACGCATGTAAAAATCTCTCTTAAGTTGTTACTGTATAATAAACAAAACATTAGAAAAAAACAGAACAAACCTCAAAATCATTCCATTAAACAGAAACTATGTAATATGTGATAAAAGTTATGAATAGAACAAACATTTGAAGAATGGACAAAAAATGCGAGATTAATTATTGTGATTTCAGGAAAATCTGAATACAAATTTATATATCAGATATCAGAATGCCAGTTTTTACTATTGTGATATATCATTCAGTCACATTATTTGCATTAATAAAAACCTTGCAATAATTTATGAATTTACAGTATTAAATTCTTTTCTTTAATGATACATGTAATATTTGCCACTTAATGTTAAAAACATTGATTAGATAGTCAATCATTTAATCCATGTAATCATAATGTATGTACTTGTAATGCTTTCAGTAAAATCAGGGAAGAGTTGGGATTGAAACCTTTACCATTAGAAAAGATAACATCTCCTAGACCAGTACGGAGCACTAAAGAAAAATCGAGGGTATGTACTTTTTACATTATATTTACTACTAAAATGTAGTGTTATAAACAGAATGGTTGGTTTTAAAGGGAAACTTCGCAAAAAAATAAAAAATTGATATTATGTCCATTCTGTATAAAAAAGCACAAATTCATAAATATTAAAGTTTTATTCTGCTAGATAAGAGATCACCATCGATTTTAAATTTAGAGTATCAATTCTCTGCGTGCGGCCATTTTGACATCTTCTCGGTTTAGAAATCACGATATATCTATAAACCACAAAGGACCAAAACCAGCAGTAACCTAACGTAGTCGCATTTATCCGACTAACTAACTTGATACGGAAAATGTAATTATTTTTTTAAATAACTATGGTCTGCCGTTTTTAAACTGTTTTTTCTTTACGAAGTTTTTGAAACAAGAAATTTATATGGGAATTAGTTAAAAAGTCAAAGTTCAATGTCATAAATAAGTGTTCCGTGTAAAATCGTTTTCGAAAATCTAATTTGTTCATAATTCTTTTATGTAATAAACTTATTTAAATAAATTCGGACCTTCTCTTATCTGATCACCAGCATGGCTAAAGGAATTATTCCCTGGGGTATTGTGAGGTGACACGTCCAGGTATTCAAGCGATTTCCTGTCGGGCTTAAAAACTCTTATTACACAATTACATAAAGCATGTTCATGCATCGCTTCACTTTTGAGGGTATTGATCAGTGTACACAGCCGATAACTTGTAACTTTCCATTTTGAAACTATCAGGTGTTAATATCTCTGTCTTGCGTGTCCGATAGTGATATACTAGTCATTACTAAACTCATACGCTTGTTTATAAATAACATTTCTGGTGTAAAGAATGATATTTATGAAAATCTAAATAATTCCCAAAAAAGATTTGATAAAATAAAAATCTATTTACATATTTTTTCCAAGGGTAAATTGGGGAAAATGTAAGTATATACTCGTTGTCAATAATGATGGACATTTTGAAACATGAAAGTCTATTGATTTAACAAAAATGTACGCACTTGTCGATCATTGGTTTATACGCCTAGATAGAAAGTTACGGAACTTTAGATAGTCGCAATTAAAAATTGTATATTGAATATAAGAAAGAACATCCAGAACCGATTTGATTTAAAATACAGGTCGATATCTAACTTGCTTTGGTTCATTGAAGTTATGGACACAGTAAAATCACAGATTTATATTTCAATTAGATTGTTCTCGAACAGTTGAAGAAATTCGTCATCATCTCAATTGTTGGGTATAATGTATATTAATGTGAACATGGTTCTAATAGAACCTTATGCCAATTTTCCTGTTCCGACATGCATGTAATATATATGCCACTGGACGTACACTAATGATCCCCAAAAAGTTTATTTGAAGAAATAAAGAAACTTCACTCCGGATAGACTGGTAGTAGTTGTATTAACGTCTGATCAGCTTGAGGGTTGATTAATTTATTACGTTAGCTTGTGGGGGAATAAACCATTCCCAATATTGCACTTATGCATAAAATATTAAAAAGGGTAATATAAGAGAAAATATAAATACGAAAAGTCGTAACTATACATCTCTAGTTAACGACAATCAACTATATAAATATCTGAATCTGATGTGACTTACCGTTCATTTCTAGTGGTTCATCTCTTTCATTTTTTTTTTCTTCTTTTTTTTTTTATTTGGGCAGGAACATAAACATTGTTAGATATAATGTTCCCAGGTTTGATGGGGGGGTGGGGTTGGAGGTCAAGTCTATCGAAAGTTACGAAATAAGAACATTGTATTTATGAATTTACAAGAAGAATTCTGTTCTTGGACGTAGTTTTCTTCTTCTTTTTTTTTAGTTCAGTGATTTAAATTGAGAAAAAATCTAGTCAGAATTTAAATCGTTCCGGCAATCCCCCACCTAAGACTCCTCTAAAATCATGAATGGTCATGCTTCACAATCATCAGAATTTACTTTGCATTGGTACATTCTGTATCGATAGTGATTAACCTTGACATTTCCGGGTATAACAGAGCTACTTGTATATTACCTGTATGTGGTTAGGTACATCGTCCCATGAGGTCTTACGTATACAGGTTCACATTTATAATGGTATCTGATATAACAAGGTTTTATGACATTCACACTTCTGCATGTTCTGTATACCAGTTTCTTATCTTATTTTCAGACCGAATGAGGATGTGAATATTTTCCAGGAAAAATATTGAGTATCAAAGTATCAAATTAATTTCGGGATATTTTTCTTTCTTGGTATTAAATCACAGAAATTTAAAGAATATACTGCTTATAGATATAAGAAGATGTGGTATGAGTGCAAATGAGACAACTCTCCATCCAAGTCATAATTTATAAAAGTAAACCATTATTGGTCAAAGTACGGTCTTCAACACGGAGCCTTGGCTCACACCGAACAGACATATAATTATATGTATATATATGTCTGCGGTATAGACATGGTTTATGAATGAATGAAAAGTCTTGCAAAGGTACAAGATATAAAGCACATTGAAAATTGATTCCGCCGGTCTGTCTCCATTCAATAAAGGAAAGTTGACGTTAGATTGATTCTGTAAAATTTTTTTAAACATCGTTGGTCAAATAGCTAAAGTATTTGTTGTGAGATGTAGAATATTTTAATAAGGACATTCCCGATTTGGTAAATGTAGATTTCTTTGGACGGACCAAACTATATTAATGTAACTGATAATTTTCTCTGCACATTTAAATATTCAAGGTTACCGATGATAATTCAAAATAGCACAGTTTTTTGGTTTATACGCTCGTTTTCGTGGGCCATTTTTATTTATAAAATTATTTCATTGAAAGTTATTCAGAATTCCGATGTTACAACAAAATAATCACCCATCTATTTAAAAACTGAGCTAACGCAAAATATAAAAAAATATATATAACGGCGATTCAGGTATTTTGCCACCATATTCCTCCCCAAATAATTATTTTTTTCTGTCTCAAACCCACATTTCTCTTTTATCATTTTTGTTTTATCTTTTTCAACCCGGAAAATAATTTTTGTTCGTAATTATTCGATCTCATTCCAATAAGAAAATATAAAAATATACCACGGCTATCCAGTTATTGTGCCACCATATGGCTCCCCCAAAATAATTATATTTCTTTTTTTATTTTCTGTCTCAAACTATCACTCCCGTTTATCATTCATACGAAATGATGTTCACACCTGGAACGGTGAACCGTGACGGCTAAAATTCACTGAGTGAATATCAAAAGATTAGAATTACAGAATGCAAACCTTTAAATACCTTGAATTTAACCACGCATTCAACAGGTAGTCACTAAGTGTCACAGTACAATACACGTTGTATTTATTTTACACAGTACTAGCGAGAAATGTTTGCTAGACTGAAGTAAAAGGTGAGAATACAAACATGCATTTTTAATACACTATCAGTTATATATATGTTTGTTGAAAATATCCGTTGGAAAAAAAATTCATAAAAATATTCTGTTGTATGATTTACTTTTATTACTATAATGACTATAATCATATCAGAAATCCTTAAAATATAAATCGTACATTTTATTTTTAAAAGTTGCACGGCTGATCACTTTACTTTCTTAATTATTAGTTGGTTAATAGCTACGCCAAAAGTCGTCGATGCGCTTTAAAACGCGTTATTAGATGATTAAAGAACAAGACTTAAATGAGATTAATTCCACTCCCGGCATGCAAAAAGACTTAAACTACGTCACAGAAGTCAGGAAGTTCGAATAAATAAAATTAATAATTCCCAATTTTCTTCTTTATTAGTTTTCATATCCAGATAAAACTTGGTGAATATGTTTTTTATGGTATTATGAACATAATAAGATGATAAGTAAAAAATCGCGAATTTTCCCTTTAAGTCTTTAGTACATATACTTTAATATAACATCAAATTAAATTTTTTACTGCGTCAGTCCTCTTTTATGTCCTAACTTTTCATGCTGGAAGAACTTAATAGGTTGCATTTCATATTTTTGTTTTATTATATATAATTGCAGATCTCTATAGAGGTTGGTCTCTTATCCTTTGTGCATTTTGGCCTAATTTTTAACTCCTGTGCCCTTTTCACTTGTCAGAGCTTTAAGTTGAAATATCTATCTCTTTTATTGCTCAGTTGTATTCTGTAATCCAGATAATTTTGAAAGCAACATATTTACATATCTTTTTACAGTAGAATAAAATCAGACGCATTAAGTTGTTGCAAGGATGTCCAACTTCTATATGCATATGTCTGAAAAGTTAGAAAATCACTTAAATAATTTCGCAAAGTAAGCAAAAAAGGGTTTAACATGAAACACATTGATATTATAAATCTAATCATACAAGATTACACAAATGCTTAAAATAGTTCAAACAATTAAGCTGTAGCTGTATATATGCAGAATTAATTAGGGCCCCGCCAAATGGCAGATGCCCTATAGTGATTAGTCTATCCGTCTGTCCGTCCGTCCATCCGTTTGTAACAAATCGTGTCCGCTCTATATCTAGAGAACCGTTATGATTTCAAAGTTTATACTTGACATGTATATTAACCAACACCAGAGGGTGTGTCATAATGTATGTACAACTTCCTAGGTCAAAGGTCAAGGTCAAAAACTTTGGTTTTAGTTGACAACCCCATGTCCTATGGTAAAGATCGTGTCCGCTCTATATCTTGAGAACCATTATGATTTCAAAGTTTATACTTGATATGTATATTTACCAACACCAGAGGGTGTGTCATAATATATGTACAACTTCCTAGGTCAAAGGTCAAGGTCAAAAACTTTGGTTTAAGTTGACAACCCCATGTCCTATGGTAAAGATCGTGTCCGCTCTATATCTTGAGAACTGTTATGATTTCAAAGTTTATACTTGATATGTATATTAACTAGCACCAGAGGGTGTGTCATAATTTATGTACAACTTCCTAGGTCAAAGGTCAAGGTCAAAAACTTTGGTTTCATTTGACAACCCCATGTCAAATGATAAAGATACAAATTTTTTACCACACATTATTCACAGCGGGGCCCACAGAGATGGCTCCAATCTCAATGATATCTAGTTAGAATAAATGTTCATCAATCAATATTTCTCTTTCTTTGAGGAACTGGCAAAGGAGAGACTTAGGTCTGGTGTTTTCGGAATTGGTGGTATTAACAGTTTTAGTGACTGAATTAATTAGCAATTTTCAATGTTAAGTTTTCTGCTTAAGTTAGTATGAAAGGATCTACTTGTGATAGATCAATGATAGTTGTATGAAGTTGCATTACTATCAGTACATATCAGTTTGACAACTATTTCAAGGCCCTGCCCCTTAGGACATGGTCCAGTGACTTTGAATTAGTTAGCAATTTTCAATGTTAAGTTTTCTGCTTAAGTTAGTTTGATAGGAACTACTTGTGATAGATCATTGAAATGTTGTATAAAGTTGCATTACTATCAGTACATATCAGTTTCATGACTATTTTGAGGCCCTGCCCCCTAGGACATGGTCAAGTGACTTTGAATTAATTAGCAATTTTCAATGTTAAGTTTTACTGCTTTAGTTATATTGTGTCAACACTCAACAGTTTATTTAAGTTTGTAATTAAGTGGAACCACTAATGATAATTTAGTGATATTTTGTAGGCTGTTGTATTACCATTGGTGCATCTAATTTCAATGGAGATATTAAGCCTCAACACTATAGTCATGGGCCTTTGACTTTGAAACTTTTTGCATAGTTTACATGTTACACAGGCGTTTATATCTCTGTGTCAACAGTTTTATTTTATGTTATGCAGAATTCTTATGTGCATAGTGAATCAATTTTTTATAGAGATTAGTTTATTCTTTGAAAATATTAGATCTGCTTATTTCAGGAAACCTTTTAGAAGGGTATTTTACACCAAGGGTAGACTTGTTTACAAGTAGATCTATGAAATTGTATTGTTAATAGCTTCAAATTCATCATGGACAACAACATGCATTTAAATAATTTTTGGGAAAACACTGTATATATTGAATCCTTTTTTTTCAGAATGCCCATGTGTTACAAGCTGTTTTGCTTCTTTTAAGAGAACTTGATAAAGACCATCTTGCGATTGTTCAGAGCACGATACAGAGGATGATGTCATCAGACTCTTGAAACACAGATTAATTTTTTACACTTTAAACCATTCATAAATGGTTTATTCTGTATTGTTTGCTTATAAGACATACTACAAGAAATAGATGCTGTGATCGTTGCATGCAACTTGCATTTATGTATTAATTCCATGTTACCAGAATGAAATATATTTTTCATTTTTTTCATTTGAATTATATTTTGTGTACTACTCCTGATATTGTTGCATGGGAAGTTATACAAAGTATTAACTATAAAAGCATTATTATAAACATGAGGGTCTGGTTGGGGTTTACAGAATAGACAAAAAAACTGGGGAAGAAGTGCAGAATAAAGGGCCAAAAATATAAAAAAAAAATAGACCAAAGTATAAAGAATGGGGTGCTAAAATATAAAGAATAGAGAATAATGGGCAAAAATATAAAAAAAAAGAGAAAAATTGCCTAGAAATTAAAAAAAAGAATACAGAAATGTAGGACCCCCCCCCCCCCCTCCAGACCCTCACACATGTCCCCAGGTCTCAAAGGTTTTGATGTTCAAATAATACTACAAAACTCATATAATTTTTGTACAGATTCAGTATGGTTAAAGGAAACAATGATTAAAAGACACATATATATTTTCATGAAACTACAGAAATTAAATTCACAAAATGTTTTTGCTCACAATATATACAGGTTAGTATAAATTTGATTTATTCAATATAGCATTTTTTGGGATATGGAACTGCAGCATGGTAGGGATGGAGGGTCAAATATTAAAAAAAAAGATATTTAAAATGTGATTTGTGTTAACATGAGAATACAATCCAGTACTAAGGCATCAATTATAAACTCGGTATATCAGAATATACTTATGTCATTTAATGATTTTTTTGGTAAAACTTATAAGCCAGTAAATCAAGCATTATGCAATGAATAAAGGTAAGCATTTTTTTTTTCGTATACCTGATGATTGGATATTTAAAGCCAGTAGTGAAACATACAAAAATGGGTAAGATTTTGTAAGATCTGTAATGGACCCGAATGTCTTATTTTATCTATTATGATCGGCAAAAAATTATAAAATTTGGAAAGTAAACAAATTATTATTTCAGCATCACAAATCATAAAATATTTTTTTCAAATTTAGTTAAATTATACCATCATACATTTTTTGTTATATAGAAAAGATATTTTAGTGCAATAATTAGCATAGATATTTACCCATCTAATTTTTACAAATTTTCTCTAAATAGAGCAATCTAGAATGATAGTATTGTTATTATGTATATTATATAAAATAAAAATGCAATAAAATTTTTCTTGCCGATACATTTTTTGTTGTAATTTTCAGCAGGAATGATTGATTTATTCCTATAAGCCATCTCCAGACAGCCATGAACTAATTCGTTATCTATTTATTGTAAGTGTCATTTTGCATTTTCTTGTTGGATACAATGTGTGATATTAATTAAATTGTTGAATGTGGACATCTTTTTTATGGCCCTGCAACAAAGTTGTCGGGGCCATATAGTTTTACCCTTGTCCGTCATTCCGTCATTCCGCAACAAACCATTAAATGCCTTCAGATATTGGGCTGATTTTTGGTATGTGAGTTAACCATGATGAGTTACAGATCATGTTTATGTTTCGTTCCGCTAGATGCTAATTTTTGCCGAAATTACGAACTTTGGACTTTGATAAATTGTTGAAAATCACAATTATACGGACTTTTTTTCTTAACGCCTTCAGATATTGGGCTGATTTTTGGTATGTGAGTTAACCATGATGAGTTACAGATCAAGTTTTAGTTTCGTTCCGCTCTACTAATTTTTGCCGAAATAACTGGCTTTGGACTTTGATAAATTGTTGAAAATCAGTTATACAGACTTTTTTTTCTAATCAACCTTTAGATATTGGGCTGATTTTTGGTATATGAGTTAACCATGATGAGTTACAGATCAAGTTTAAGTTTCTTTCTGCTCTACTAACTTTTGCCGAAATTATGGGCTTTGGACTTTGATAAATTGTTGAAAATCACAGTTATACAGACTTTTTTTCTTAACGCCTTCAGATATTGGGCTGATTTTTATATGACCGCAAAAGAATTTTGGTGGTCGTATATTGGTATGACATTGGCGTCGTCGTCGTCCAAAGACACATTGGTCTTTGCACTCTAACTTTAGTTTAAGTGAATGGATCTCTATGAAATTTTACCATAAGGTTCAATACCACAAATGGAAGGTTGGGATTGATTTTGGGGGTTATGGACACCAGGCCAAAAATAAGCATTTTTGTAACTTCCAGACATAACTTGTGTGTTAGTGTATGGATCTCTCTGACATTGTACCACAAGGTTCCATATCTTAAAGGGAATGCTGGGATTGATTTTGGGGGTAATTGCCTCAAAATTTTAGGAATGAGGGGCCATAAAAGGGGCAAAAAACAAGCATTTTTCTAGTTTCATGACAATTACTTGTGTGTAAGTGTATGGATCTTCCTGAAATTGTACTACAAGGTTCCATATCAAAAAGAGAAAGCTGGAATTGAGTTTGGGGGTAATTGCCCAAAATGTTTAGGAATAAGGGGCCAAAAATATGCATTTTTCTAGTTTCCAGACAATAACTTGTGTTCAAGTGTATGGATCTCTCTGAAATTGTACTGCAAGGTACCATATCACAAAGCAAAGGGAACGCTGGGATCGATTTTGGGGGTAATTTCCTCAAAATTTTAGGAATTAGGGGCCAAAAAGGGCCAAAAAACAAGCATTTTTCTAGTTTCAGGACAATAACTTGTGTGTAAATGTATGGATCTTTATGAAATTGTACTACAAGGTTCCATATCACAAAGGGAAAGCTGGAATTGAGTTTGGGGGTAATTGCCCAAAATGTTTAGGAATATAAGGGGCCAAAAATAAGCATTTTTCTAGTTTCCAGACAATAACTTGTGTTCAAGTGTATGGATCTCTCTGAAATGGTATTGCAAGGTACCATGCCACATAGGAAAGGCTGGGATTGATTTTGGGGGTAATTGCCTCAAAATTTTAGGAATTAGGGACCAAAAAGGGGCAAAAAACAAGCATTTTTCTAGTTTCAGGACAATAACGTGTGTGTAAGTGTATGGATCTTTATGAAATTGTACTACAAGGTTCCATATCACAAAGGGAAAGCTGGGTTTGAGTTTGGGGGTAATTGCCCTAAACGTTTAGGAATATTGGGGCCAAAAAGGGGCCAAAAAACAGGCATTTTTCTAGTTTTTAGACAATAACTTGTGTTCAAGTGTATGGATCTCTCTGAAATTGTACTGCAGGGTACCATACCACAAATGGAAGGCTGGGATTGAGTTTGGGGGTGATGAATCATAAGGGGGTTCAAAAACTTTTGGGGGGGGGGTTCCTTTTTTTTTTCTTTAAAATTTTCCATTTTAAATTGATTATTTCTGATTTATATATAAAAGCAAATAATAGTGATATGGTTTGAATAGGTAAATTAAAAATCTTTAAGTTCTTAGACCACATTCATTCTGTGTCAGATACCTATGCTGTGTCAAATATTTAATCACAATCAAAATTCAGTGATGTATCAAGCTTGAATGTTGTGTCCATACTTGCCCCAACTGTTCAGGGTTTGACTTCTATGGTCGTATCAAGCTGCGCCCAGCGGAGCATTTTATTTGAAATGGTATTACTCCAATTCTTTCCATAGGCAAGTAAGAGTCAGTATGATTACAAACTGTCATGATTTTCAAATAATTACACTCAAAGGTGTAAGTATTAATTGGAAACAACCCCAATCTTAATTCGACACCACATTTAATATCTCAGGACCCAGCAAATTACCGTGGTATAAGTCTTGTCAGCAATCTAGGTAAACTATTCACTACTATATTGAATAGTAGATTATTGAAGTGGGCATCAATGAACAATATTTTATCTGATGCACAATTTGGTTTCCGTAATGGTTACAGTACAGTAGATGCTGTGTTTTGTTTATATTCTGTCATACAAAATTCTTTTTGTAAAAGTAATAGATTATATTGTTGCTTTGTTGACTTTTTAAAAGCGTTTGATACAGTTGATCGTCTATGTTTATGGTACAAGATTTCTAAATTAGGAATCAGAGGAAAATTGCTTAATATTTTAAAATCAATGTATAGCAGTGTAAGATCTTGTATTAGATTTGATGGATTTAATTCTAAATATTTTTCAAATAATCTTGGCTTAATGCAAGGAGAAGTTCTTTCACCTATATTATTTTCATTTTATGTTAATGACTTTGAGAATGAATTCATCATTAATGGAAGCTGTGGACTTGAATTTCAGGACATAACACTTTTTTTATTAATGTATGCTGATGATATGATATTGATGTCAGAATCAACCCAAGGCTTGCAAAATATGTTAAATACTTTATCTGGTTATACTGAGAAATGAGGTCTTTCGGTTAACACTAAAAAAAAACAAGATCATAGTAGTTTTTCGTAAAGGTGGGAAAATTAGACCTACTGAGACATGGATTTATAATGGTAAACCATTAGATATTTTAGATCATTTTTGTTATCTGGGTGTGTTATTTCCTTATAATTGTAAATTTTATATTACTCAAAAACACTGTGCTGAACAAGGCAGGAAAGCTATGTTTAGTATGAGGAAAAAGGCTTCATCCTTATACCTGAACACTGTTACTTCTATTAGTTTATTTGACACTTATGTATGTAGTATTTTAATGTATGGTTGTGAAGTATAGGGTGTTCATAGAGCACCAAATGTAGAAAAAGTTCATTTGGACTATTGTACAACATTACTAGGTGTCAAGAGGTCGACTTCTAATGTAATGGTATATTATGAATTAGGAAGATTTCCATTGTTATATGAGCGAAATTTTAGGATGCTCAAATTATGGTCTAAAATTCACGGTAGTGAAAATTGTATTATAAATTTAAGTCATGCTACAAAGATTTAGTAGCAAATAGTAATAAATGCAAAAACTGGGCAACTTGTATTAAAACACTGTTATATGATCTTGGTATGAATAATTATTGGGACAACCAATCGGTACTTTGTTTGGATAGTTCATTTTTACAATTAACCAGACAACGGCTATATGATCAAGCTGAACAAGAGTTACATTTTACGCTTGAAACATCACCAAAGTGTAGAATATATAAGTATATTGTGTCAAATGTAGAAATACAATTTTATTTACGAAAATGCATTCCTATATTAATGTCTCGAAAATGGATAACGAAAATTCGTCTGTCCTAACACAATCTAATGTAAATTGTATATTTATGCAAAATACACTGATGAACTGTATTGTTCAAAGTAATAAAGAATTGAATTGAATGACCTGTTACATAATTAAATAGGCACAATTTATTACACACCTAACTGAATACAC